TTTTTTTTTTTTTTTTTTTTCCCTCTAGCAAATTGTAGTCTCTATATCGTTTCTATTTGAGTTGTCTCTATATCGTTTCTATTTGAAACGCTGTTCGTTAAAAGCATTTCAAACGACATTCAAAAATTCAAACGAAAACCGTGAGGTTGGTAAATAGGCGCAATCGGAAGAGCCATTGGATAAAAATGGCGGAGTGAATTTTGATGGTGCACTGACCTGTTGAAAGTTTTCTTGCAAAATTCGCAAACGTACGGCCTGGCATCGCTATGTATCGCCTTATGCTGGCTCAATGTCGACAACTGTCGGAAAGCTTTGCCGCAAGCCTCGCATTTAAAGTTCCTCTCGTCGGTGTGCGTTGGCAAGTGCCTCATCAACGTGTACTGATGCCGGAACTCCTTCGAACCTGGGTCGAATATCAAGCTTTGATACGACTATTCTTGCCGTACTTTCGCGAAAACCCGATCCCGTCTTTACGAAAGAAATACTATTGGTTTCGCATCACACGCGATTCTTGGCCGACGGTTGAAAATATTAAAATAATACAGGAATTTTAATCTTCTAAATTAAGGATTAAGTTCGTGATTGTTCAATTTTTTTTAATTTCTCGAATATCTGTAGTCTTTAATTCGTCAATCTTCTCGAAATTTTAGTTCTCGAATCTTCGAGCGTTGAAAAACTCGATCTTCAAATGTCGAGAGAATTTCAAATTCTCGAGTTTGCAAAGTTTCCCAAATTTTTGAATTTTTACGTACAATGAAATGAGGAACGAGCGAATCAAACAGTCAGTGTAAAATTCGACAAGTAGACAAGTTACTAACAAATCCCGCACTCCCATATTTTCAACGTTTTCCCATCTCGCTTCAGATATTTCACAAAATGAAGTTTCGATCTCGGATCGTCCTTGTCGATCAGTCGAGTGGAAGACGAAGATGGTTCCTCGACGACCGGGTGTGAATACACCATAACGTTATCTTCGGACGAATTAACATTTTGATCGAGAATCTATAAGAAGAAAAAGTCGTATCAGCTGTCCTATAATTCAACAAGAACAAAAATAGCTTTTGATACTTTCACCTTGTACTTGAAAGTATCTTTTCCGAGAAACTTCGTCACAGCGCCGTCAATGTTAATTACTTCAGAATCTATAGCTACGTTTAGGTTCATGCAATCACCCTGGGAACAAATTAAATTGAGCCCCTATAGAAAATATTCGCGGCGTAGAAAATTATACAGCGCGTGTATATCCGCATGATATTGTTAATAATTATAGTTAACAAAGTAAAATTAATTGTCAATTTTCCACTCGTAGCTACCTGAATTAATTGATGATCATTTGTAGACGACAAGCTCGACACGACGGTGACATCGTTCCTTCCTTCAGAACCTGCGTTCTCCTCTTTCACATAGACTTCGTAAACACTGAAAATTGAAAACCAATTACATTAGGTATTCGGCACGATCCTAGTACCACTATTCCTAATATTTTTTAACTCAGTTAATTTAATTGTACGAATTACAAATAAACCTACTCGCAACACGCAACTCTTAATACTCGCTAATAAATTAATTGTTTAAGCTCACCTGATTACTTCATCCGGAATGGAACGAGTAAATTGCACCTGCGGATCCTCGTACGGGGTCTCCCCTAAAAAAAAAAAAAAAGTTGAACAGCGTTGTACAAAAATAGCTTGATCCTGGTCGACCTTCCTGAAAACTTGACTAACCCGCGTAAAACGAATTTCATTTGTCTTTTCACGTTGAAATCAATATTAAACCTGATAGCATTAAATCGTGTCATCTGATAATTACGTAGAATATCACTTACGTTACAATACCAGATAACAGTTTCAGAAACGTTAGTAAATTAATACGGGAATAACCCGTTCGCCATTATATCCGCTTCAAACGGATTTACGTAAAACTGGAAATGGAGGATTCGCAATAAGGAACATTATTAAACAGCTATTTTCAAGGTAGTACTATTCCTCTGTTGAAACTCTTGAGACTCGGGCAAGGGATTAAGAAGAAGGATCGTGCATATGTTTTCAGTAGAAAGCTTTTAAGATTCTTTCTGCGAAAGGGGAGCACGATATCCTTTACTCTATTCTGTACTCTAATACCTCTCGTGACAAAATAATCCTTTTCTCCCTCTACTTGTCTTTTCTTTTTTCTCTCTCTCTCTCTCTTTTCCTCCCCCATCTCTCTCTCTCTCTCTCTCTCTCTCTCTCCTTCTTCTTCTTCTTCTTCTTCTTATTTAATAATCCATTGCCTACTGCAACTGCTGTTACTTTACCGTTTTCTGTATGCTCTTTGTGAAATTAGATCGTGTCCAACTAAAAGAATTTATAATGACTGCAAATGAATAAGTCATGTTACTTATGTTACATTGACTAGACGCTTCACTTCTCAGAGTACACTTTCTTTATTTATTTTTAAGAATTTTTTCAACAATCAAAGGACGATTCCAGAGGGTGTGAGCTTCAACCAAAGAAACGATTGTGCACGTAAAGTAATAAAACTTTTGTCTATTGTCGAGAATTTCAATTCCATTCTATTAAGAAACTGATCAAGAGATAAGAATTTCAATTCTATTCTATTCAAGCGTCCATTTCAGATATTCCTAAATCTTTTCATCTTCCTCATTTTACTAGAAATCATGCAATCTGGAATTGAAATAATACACTTCCCTCTTAAACTGGCTTCTCCCGAGTCTGAGAAAAATAATTACAACCTAATAATAATATATTGTAATATAGCAATGATTTTCTATGAAAGAAAGTATCTTCTCTACATTTTAATATAGAATCTTTCCAAAGAGAATAATAATTCCAATTTACATACGTTCTGTTGAAAGCCAGAAGCATAAAGCTACTACACCACGAGATGAAATTGAATGCCGACTTTCGTCAGAAGACATCGTGAAATAATATCCTAAATGAATGATATCCGCCAGTTGAGTGACACTGATTTAAATGGAACTGACGATACAGGTGTCTCTTGAAACAATGTAACACTTTCGTCGAGCGTTTTATTCACGAGTTTGATACAATATTACATCTAACCGCAAGAATACCCGAGGACGCATCACTCGTTATAACCGACTCATTTAGCTATCGAATTTATGCTTCTTGGAAAAAGACGTGGAATTATTAATAAACCACGGACGAATTTCAATTTCAAATGAGAGATGGCTCAACGTATTTCGCCCGAATTTTCAACCGGAGTTTTCAAGTACAACACTTCAAGTTAAACATAACTCATGCATAATTAAGAAAAATTAATTCAATCCTCCAGAGAAACTGCACTAACAGACAACTGAACATAAAAATTTTCGTACGCCTTAAAAAAATATCACTTTTATTTGAATAAGGCACGCGCAACATTGTACCTCGCGTGCTTATTTTTTAATATACGATAATAAGAAAATAGCTAAACAGCTTTGACAAGAACATACTGACTTTGTACTTTTATCTTAATTAATAAACATACTTAACAAAATTTAACACAGTTTAAAAATCAATTCAATCCTCGAGAAGCCATACTAACAGGCAGCTGAACATGAAAATTTTCATACATCTTAGAAAAACATCATTTTCATCTAAACGCAACGTCGTATCTCGCGTGCTTATTTTTCAACATGACAAATAACGAGAAAATAGCTAAATAATTTCGACGTAGAGCTTAGACTTTGCACTTTTATTTTAATAGGAAATTATCTTCCTGCTAGCAAGATAATACGAAAGCTTTCCTCAGCGACCACGCATCCAAGCGTTTTATTCACACAAAAGGAAACGAAACGATCAATCGTTAGCAAAAGTGTCTTCCAGAGCCACCATATTAAGAAATTAATTCGACGAAGTCCTGAAATCTGCTTCATCATTTCGCGACACGATGCAATTATACGTACATATTCAATCGCGGTGTTTGAACGACGATTCCTCCTGTCAATGATCTCCATCCCACTGGCACCGAATTCTATCTTCCCGACGATTTTCACCAACGTTCGACAGAAAAAAAAAGGTCGCGCAAAATCGCGTCGTCCGACTTTCCTCCGCCACCATTAAAAAAATTACCGAATCGCGAACGCAACAAAAGAAAGAGAGAAAGAGAGAGAGAAAGAGAGCGAGCTGGAAGCCATTAGAGGCTTGGAGCATTCCGACGAAGAGAGAAGACTGTCAAAAAAGCGGATGGCACCCGGAAGGTTTGTATCGCGATCGGCAGAAGTCCCGACATCGTCGGTCCTCGCCTTTTTTTTTCCGGCTGCTGGCAAATAAACGAAAGCCGCCATTATCACAGCTCATTTTTCACGGGCCGACAAACGACGGATCGGCGACGAGTCAATTCATCGTTATTTTATAATTGGGCGACGCGATCGCGTTCCGTCCGCCGAGGAGCCGAGGAAGAACAAGAAGAGGCGAAACAGACGAAAGAAAAGAAGGGTGAACGAACGATAGGGCTATCGTCGATATTCGTTTTCTCAACGTGCTACTCACAGTTGTATCCTTGCAAAAGGTTATTCTGGGACATTTCTCAGCGTGTCACCTTCGAAACCGAGCCACTTTCCACACGTGGACGTCGTCTCGCAGCCTGATTCGCATCGATCGCTAACGAGGAATCGTTAAGCCACGACCCCGAATCGGTTCGCGTATATCGCCGCCAAACGGGCAACTTCGGAAACGCTCTCGGCCAATGGCGTAATCCTTCTGTGTCTTCTGGTCCTCTTAACCTTTGACACCGTACAATTTTTTTCTTTTCTTTTTTCTTTTTTTCTTTCTCGATCGGGATAAAAAAATTCGAATGTTTGGTAACATTTCTGGAGAATATTTTTCTGGGAACGACAAGACGCGACATTTGAATTCGTTGTTACTATTGACGGAAAAAATTGGATGATTATTTTTTCTCTTTTTACTCGTAACAGTGAACAAAAGTAAATGCTATTATTTTATTATCAAGTGCAGTACTATTAAGTTTAGAAAATCGTCAGATCTTTAAGTCGGAATATGAGAGAACAAGATACGATTCATCTATTATCTAATTTTTCTACAGCTTAATAATGTTTTTAATCTACATTTCTCTTTCCAGGTTCGACAACAGATAAACATTTAAGATAAGTATTTAATATTTAGAATGAATATCGAAACTGAAGAAAAATTGAAATTAATTAATTAATTAAAAATGTCTTTTGCCAATCCTCCATCGAAAATTATAGAAATTATGAAAACATTATAGGAAAAATTATAAATATATACATTCACGATACTCTACACTTGAAACTCTTACAAGTCGCGTGCCGGGTTACGTTTGGATCTGCCGATAATTTATCGCTCTGTCGAGAGAACACTTGGTCCTCCGACTCATATTCTCGAAAATAAACAGACCACATAGGCCAACGTTAATCAGGCCAAATAGATGGTGCGAAGAAGATATTTAAACACACCTCGAAAATCGTCGTGTCTTAATCGAATCTAGTGAGCTTTGTGCAGTCCCTCTTTTAAAGGAAAAGTATCGAGTGCACGATGAAAGGATAGGTCGGGAGAACCTTACATCTCTTCGATTATAGCTTTAACGATTGCTTTAATCTATCTCTTGTGTAAAATATTACTTGCGTGACGCTTCTTTTTATTTATTTACAATTCAGCTTCGGTATCGATGGTCGTTATCGACGCTATATTTCGTCGTTAATTTTCGATGTATGAACTACTTTTGAAATCAAACTAATTAACTTCATAATCATCTAGTTTGTGATTAATTGTGGTTAATGCCACTACTCTTTTCGAACTGTACTTGTGTAAAAAAAAAAACTCTTGTTTCTGAAAGTATAACACGTCTTATTATTAGTTCCTAGCAACTTGCTTCGTATATTCGTGAATGAAATATCTCGCGAATGAAACTTCGCTTGAAACGTGATATGTCGCATATTAACTTTCTAACTAACTTCTAATCGATTCTCAAGTTAACTTTCTAACAAGAGATAATAATAAAGTGACATCAATATTTCTACATTTTTAATATCAAAAATACAAATATCTGCATCTTCAAAAAATTAAAATTAAAATTATCTCTCAATACTATGTTACATCTTCCGTTTCATTGACAAAGGGTTAATAAAAAAAAAAAAAAGACGCGCCAGAACCCAAAGTACAAAATCGGAAAGTGCGGTAAAAAAGGTTCAGAGTCAGTATAGTAGTATTACAACTAATATTACAGTTAGTATAGCATAGTATTGCAACCAGTATTGCAATATCGATAAGCTTCGAAGTGGAGAGTCTTGTCTTGTTCGAATAAACGTTCTGTAAAATTGTACAGTATAATTTTTTAACTATACCCTTACAACGTAGCAACGTCTCTCGTTTTCAATTTCTTTCGCACTATAGCGAGAAGGTTGAAACGGTACATGTAACACCTCAATTCCTTCCGACACAATCGAATCGCAGTTGGTCCGATTGCGCGTGAGGTTTGCATTAATATTCCAAGAAACACCTAAATTCTATCCGATCGACGAGCGAGAACAGAAACCATCTTCCATCGTCGAAGTCGCCGGAATTACCCGCTCCTGCTTCCCCCTTGCTTCGCCCTCTATTTCCGAATTCCGGTCAGGTACATCCACATCGGCGTTCTCCAGCTTCCCAGCATGGTCCGTGGC